ATATGCTGCATTTATTTTGAAGGTAGAGCCAGCAGGACTACTGGTGACAAATACACAGTGTGTGAGGAAGAGAGGAGTCACGTACCTGAGCAATTGAAAGGGTAGAGTTGCTTCTAACTGAGATTTGGAATACTATACTTGGAGGTATAGATTTTCAAGGAAGTCTCAGGAGCTAATTTTAGGATATGTATATCTGTTAGACATGCAAGTGGAGGTAATAGGCATTTGGATACACAGTTTCAGAATTTGTAGGAGAGGTTTAGGGATGGAGCTGTAAATATGAGGGCCCTCAAACTATACAGTTATTATTTGGACAAAAATAGACAAGATATCTAAGAACTGAACCTGGGAGACTCCAGGTAGAGAGTCAGAGAGAGGAAGAGGAACCAACAAAGGAGATGGACAAGGAGCAGTCAGAAAGATAAGAACAAAACTAGGTGAGTACAGTGTTTTGGAAGCCAAGTGGAGGGAATAAAGTGTTCTGAATAAGTGAGAATAGTCAACTATGTCAAATCCTGCTGATTGGTAAAGAAAGATTGCAATTGAGAATTGGACATTAGATTTAATGACATAGAAATTATTGATGACCAAGGTAAGAACAGTTTCAGTGGTGAGTTGGAGGCAAGAACTTGATTGCAGTGGGTTGAGAGAATATTTAATGAATATCTACTGCTCTTATTGTAAGCTCCCTACAGCCTGGAACTATGCTTTGTTCACTGCTATATTCTATCACCTAACACAGATCTGGCATGTATTAGGCACTTAGAAAATATTGAATTAATGAATAAATGAGTAAAATAACATTTACTCACAAGAATCCTATCATTCTCCTGCAGAGAATATGATAGGAAAGGCCATAAGCTACTGTAACTTTGCTGCCATTACCTTATACCAGAACTTGTATTGTTGCACTTAATAGTAAAGCATTTTAGGTATCTGTTCATATGTCTGACTCTTCTGCCAGAGTGGGGCACATGGCATATAACCCAAAGCATTTCATATTGAATAAATGAACAAAAGCAAGCATGAATGAATGAATGAAAAAGTGAATGAATATACCCAGAATTAAGTATAGTACAGTATGTTGTGATAAGTAATTATAATATAAAAATGATTACTATAATTATATATAATAAAACTATATTATATATGATACAAACCATAGTGGGATAGGTATCATAAAAAATATACAAAAAGTTTTCACAGAACAAATGGCTTTTGAGGCAGTCTTGGAAAAATCTTATAGAGCTTTGATTGATGGAAATGATCAAGAAAGAGCATTCAAAGAAGAAAATGCAAAATGCATCGTTAGGAAAGTAGTGTGTTCAGATCATAGTAAATCTGCCTTTGAGGGAAGTAGAACATGTGTAGGCAAGTGGGAAGGTGCAAAGAAAGTTAGTCTGATGCCATTTCTTATTCTGATATTAATAATAATACTACTTTAAATTTGCAGGTTGTTACTGTTTCCAAAGCATTTTCACATATATTATTTCTACATCACACCATCTCTATGACATAGTTAAGACAGACACTAGTTTTTCCTGTTTCAAAAAATGAAGATCTGGGATTCACAGAGGTTAACTGACTTGGTATCCAGTAATCGTCAGAGTCAAAACTCAGATGTATATTTTCTGACTCCAAGTCCTTGGCTTTTTCACTAATTCACAGGGGCCTTAAATGCAGGAGTACAAAATTGTACTTAATTTGGTATGCAGTGGAAACGTATTGATGTGGTGGAGCAGGGGAATGATGTCATCACAGTTGTGTATTTAGAAAAATCAATTTGGCTAAAGGAAATATTGGACCAGGTAGAAACTGAACAATTATGAAACATTTGCAGTAGTCCATGAAAGAAAGAATGAGAACCAAAACAAGATTAGTTCAGTATGAATGGACAGAAGCAGAAGATTGAAGAGACCTTGTAAAAATAATATCTATCAGACTTACTATTATGCCTAAGATTTTTCTACGTAAGTGACTATAATAATGGTGTTGGTAGAAAAAAGAGGCAGTTTGGGGGTGACCATGAGTGTGGTTGGGTGCAGTTAAGTTACACTGAAACAATTTGATCCTTCCAAGGCTTGCTTTTAAGGTTGATTAAATGGGGCCAGAGAAGGTTGGTTTTGGAGCATAATTTTGCTCCATTACTAAAGCAGTACTCTTCTGACTACTCTCCCTAATGCCTTGTTTATAACAGTTGTGGGTGTTTTTTGTTTTTCGTTTGTTTGTTTGTTTGTTTTTTCATTCTGGTTAGTGAGAAAATGAACTATTGGCATTTTATGAGCTTGGCATTTTTTCCCTCTGATCATTTGAAGTGGTTTCTGCCCCACTTTGTTATATATATGTACACACTCAGATATATGTTTTCTGTGTGTACACACACACACACACACACACATATATATATACTCTCCAGTAATTAGCAAAGATTTGAGGGGAACCTTCAGCAGACTTCTGGAGCTTTTTCTATGCAACTGTCTCTCTGGCAGCATCTTCCAGGACACTTTCCTGAAGATTATATCCACCTTGGTCTCTCCAGATTTCCTACTCTGCATATTCAGCTCAGGACAACCACCAAGCTCTTTCTGGTTCTTCCTCCCTGTCAGTGGCCTGGAACTTTGCATGCAGTAAATTGGACAATTTTAGGGTTCATTTCATTTGTTTCTCCTCTCGCAGGTACCACTCTCTCTGCCTGATATGTAAGATGTACAAATTGTTGTCTTATATGTTTGGTCTGACTTTTAGGTGTTTCAGTTCAGGAGGTAAATCTGGTTCCTGTTATGCCACCTTGGTCAGAAGCAGAATTCTTCCATAGATCTTAATGAAGCTAATTACAAAGACTAGTATGGGAGAAAGGCACTGTTAGCTAGTTGCTGAAATAATTTGAAGAAGATTTTTAATGACAATTAGCTTTCATCAAAAGGGGAGAAGGTAATGTTGATGTTGTGTCTTTAAAAGAGATGTTGAATAATAGCAATGAAGCTAATTTTGCTGACTTTACTTTTTAATTTAAATTAAAATGAACAATTTATATTTTATTGTTTTCTACAACCCTTACTCATTACAGTGAAGTCATATACCTTTGTACTTTTTCCTTTTCCCATTTATGTTGTCCCTAGAAAAATGTATCTAAATGTCACCCTATAAAAAAATGGTGATATGGTGGAGATGAGTGGGTTTTATTTCACATGTAGTACTTAGATTTTAATAAACCATATACTTACAAAGTTCTTGACTGGCATCTTGATAGTATAAATACTCAATTGAGTGAAATGCACAGACAATATGCATCTTTACTCATAAATTCATAATTGCTAGATGCTGAAATAATATTTATTTAAACTAACCCTATAGGTAGTAAAGAAGTCTTTAATAGCAGACTGTATTAAGTCACAAAGTGAAATAAAATTAGTGCTTTTTCAGGTTTTTTTTTGTAAATTATTGTTGATTTTTGATACTTGCTATTGACAAAGGAGATTTTTACTCTACTTTTATAAATTAAGGAAGATTTGTCACTTCCAAAACCTTCTAAAATTTGAAAATGTATATGTCTATATATATTTATATAGAACCATTTATACTATATATATAGCTATATTGTGTGTGTATGTATATATTTCTAGGTAGTAAACTTAGGAAAATAAATTCATCAAATTATTATTAATAATGGTAATATTAGCTCTTAGTACTTTTAGTCTGTTATGAAGCATCCTGTTAATTGAGAAAGTGGTAACAAAAAGCACATGCTTCTTAACACCTTTTATTGAGACATTGTGAACATTAAAAAAAAAATACAGTTAAGAGTACCTCAATACTTATGAGGACTGTATTAGGGTTCTCTAGAGAAACAGAACCAATAGAAGATATATAAGTATAGATAAAGGAGATTTATTATGAGTAATTGGCTCACACATTCATGGAGGCTGAGATATCCCACAATATGCTGTTTGCAAGCTGGACACCCAGGAATGCCAGTGGTATAATTCAAAGTCCAGAGGCCTTTGTAATTCTGATTCCAAAGGCCTGAGAACCAGGAGGCTGGTGATACAAATCCCAGTCTAAAGGCAAGAGAAGATTAGATGAAATGTTCCGGTTCAAGCAGTGAGGCAGAAAAGAAGAGGCACAGTCCTCCTTCCTCTACCTTTGTTTTGTTCAGTCTCTCAGTTGATTAGATGATACCTACCCACACTGGGGAGGACAGTTTACTGAGTCCACTGATTCAAATGCTGATCTCATCTGGAAACACCATCTCTCACACACACACACAAATAACATTTAACCAGATACCTAGGTATCCCCTGATCCAGTCAATTAACTAACACAAGGATCTTTAAAATCTCAGAAATATTCTGTACAAACCTGAAAAGTAAAATATAGCTTTGAAATTAGTATCCCAGTATTGCGTTTGGATTAGCCACAGTCTTGAGTCTATCCTTTGGTGAAATGAAGACATTCTGTGAATAATCTTTGGCAAAAGAGTCATCTACATTTGTAATGTGGATAGTATCATTATATAATAGAGTATTTGTAATAACTGTAATTACCTATGTTAAAAGAAAAACCTTTGACAAATTAAATTTAACAGAGTTTGAGGAAAGACCAGTTCATAAATTGGCAGCCCCCAAGCCAGAAGAGGTTCAGACACTCCAGCATAGCCACATGGTGGAAGATTTATGGACAGAAAAAGAAAAGTGACCTACAGAAACAAAAGTGAGGTACAGAAACAGCTAGATTGGTTACAGCTCAGCATTTGCTACAGTGTTGTTTACACATCCAGGTAGATTACCTTTCACTTTGTATGGAAAAACCTTTAGGCCAAACTTAAAACATTTAAGGAGGCAGCTTTAGGATAAACTTAACACTACATTCTCTTTTATTTTAACCAATAAAGTAGACCAAAACATAGAACTTACATTACCATTTAGTTTATTGGTAATCATTCTAATTACCTCTTTTATTTCCTCTTTATCCATTCCCTGTACCCCTTTCTCCACTCATAGCTCTATGCCATTCCTTGGTTTCTCACCATGTTTACTCGTAAGTATCACTTCCCCTGGTTTTTTTGATATTGTATTAGCACAAGGACAAGCCAGTGCCTCCCCATATTTTATATTTGCAATAACATTGAGCAGATGTAGTAAGTCTTTTTATGTATTTCTAACATAATAGAGTTGGGTAGAAAAGAATTTCAATCGTTCTGATCCCTGAATATCAAAGTGAGAATTCTATAAAATAAAAACCTATTGTACATTTCATGATATTTGTACAAACTCTGTCCCCTTTGAAAAAAAAATTATCAACTGTAGTATTTACATAAAGCTTATAAGGGCAACTATTACAACCAAATCAGGCTTAATTTTCAGAGATTCTTTAATAACTTTTATTTTTTAAACTAGGATTCCTCTAGAAATTAAGCAGATTATGTGAATGTGTAATATTTTAATTTGCTATTAAATATTAATATAAATATTAATAAAGTGGACATCCTTACAAATAAAATATGGTTTACATGGTAACTGTAATAATATTTGAAGTAGATCTTTATGCACTGGCCTGGAAGATATACGTAGTATTGTTAATAAGAAAAAGGCAGTTACAAAAAATAGAAAGCTGCTCATAGGATTTTTGGTGGGAATTTATTAAAACAGTTGTTTAGATAATATAATAGATACGTCATTTTACTGTACCTAAAACAACAGTAAAGTTCATCTAGATAAATAAATCTGTGAGAATAATATAACTGGAAAGTTCTGGGAAGACATATTATGAATGGTTAATAGAGTTAAAAATATTTTCTGTTTGGCCAGTCTGATTATCAATTTTTTAAGATGCCTTAAGAGGCTATAAATTTTCAAAGCCAAATAAACATTTCGTTAAAAGAATTTGATAGTATTAGCTCTTCAATAATAGTTTTCACCATAAGGTAATAATTATAGAACTAGTAAAGTAGGTTGTTATTGTTATTATTTTGGTTTTTTAATTTATTTATATTTTTATCATTTTACAGATGTATTTCCACTACACAAAATTTTCCACCTCTGGGATACCTTACTACTTGGGAATTCCTCTTTTCCATTCTGTATTGGAGTAGCAATTCTTCAGCAGTTGCGGGACCGGCTTTTGGCTAATGGCTTTAATGAGTGCATTCTTCTCTTCTCCGATTTACCAGGTATAGATCTAAATAAATGAAACCATTAAATGAAATTTGACTATGAAATAATGACACATTCTTAAGCCATTCGCAAAAATAACCATCCAGGCCTTCAGCACCTCTTCTGTTTGGGCCTCATCATCCTCTCTGGATTCTCTCATATACTGTCTCTTCTGCTGACCCAGCATTGTAAATACAAATCTGGGTCATACCAGCTCACTGTGATTTACATCCATCTTGGTAATGCTACTAAATGGGTAAAAGGCCAGGAAGTGGGGGCAATATCATATTTGCTCTTTTGCTTAGGACAGGGACTGTTTATCTTCAGTGATGGAGAGTATAGAAAGGCCACTTGGGAAGGTGTTTAAGAATCTATGTTTATACAAAGATACAATTCACATGAAACTTTGTTCCCTCCTAGTGCTGCTTGCTAACAATTTGACAGTGTGACAACAGGAAATACCACCCTCTTAGGAGGACAAATCAAACTCCAGGGAAATTCTATGCCATGCAATGCAGGAGAGTATGTTAAGCTATATAGAGTATTCACAAATAAGGAACTTGTAAACCTAGGAGTTGAATGTTTAAATGTAGAAATAATGGATAACTATAAGCTTTGATGCTATGATTAAAAAGTTGAAATTAATGTCGTCACCTAGGATGTAACTAAATCTATATTTTTGCGGAAACTTCAATTTTTTAGGTGAAAAAATTCACATACTTTATTGACTGCATCTCTTCTGCTGTTCTCCGTATTTTCAGGCAGGCCCAAGTTACTGCTGGTAACAAACTCACTTAAAATTATCCCAGAATCAGATTTACCTGAAAACTAAGTAAAAAACAAACGGAGGGTCCCTTAAGATTATATCTTTGGTAATTACTCTGAAGAAAAATAAGAAACCTACTGCCGAACCTCATTTTTATGTTTAATGGTTGATCTGTACTTGGTACTTTACTTTAAAAAAGAAAATTTTTTTTTTGAAATTTTTTATCATTTGTGGGAAAATAATAAGAAAAATGCCTTGGATTTATTTAAAACTTTTTCTTCCCCCTTCCCTCAAAATTGAAGCTATTATCATCAGCTTTCTGACTTATCAAATTTTAATTAAAGTGAGTTATTTCTTATATGAATAAATAGTTTAGGTCATATTTTTTGTGGTAGATTCTTTATGAAAATCAAGTTATCCATTTTTTTTGTTTTGTTTTGAACAGTAATAAATAAGCTAGTTTCACAAACTAGGAATACTGTTTATTTTTTGCGGATGATTTATCGTCATTTCCAGCTTGCCAAAGTAAACATAGGATGATTGATTATGATTAAAGTACATTTTCTGGCCAGTTCTAAATATATATATATTAGGAATGCTGATTGTACATTTTCAAATTAAGCAAATTTATTGCCTTTCTAATTTGATGCATAAATGCTCCTGTTAAACATTGGTGAAGCATCTGTTTTTATACTTTATAGGGAGATTAGTGGCAACTCTGCTTGTCTATTAAAAAAACACATGCAACTGTGTATTTTACGGTCAATTGACATATTTCTATCTTAATTCCATAGGAAAAATTATGGCTATATGTCTTTAAAATTGCCTGCTTTGGGTTTACTTTACAGATGGTACAAGGTTAGAATAAAGTTTCTCGATTAATTGAAAACTGAAAGGATTTACACAATATTCTTACTAATGATCATTCAAGAGATGTTACCTTGCTTGTTTTAGGCCTTAGAAAATGAAATTCTGGTAATTTTATCCCTTCTATTCACTGTATCATAACATCTGTCAAACCTTATTAAGCACTCATTTTGTTCAGAGCATGCTATTCAAATAGGAATAAAATCTATTTAGTTGATGTAGTGTCAGCTGGTACAATTGGGTTTCTTTGCTTAATTTCTCTTACTGAAAATTCATCTTTCCATGAAATAATTAATTTGTTTTGTTTATAAATAGGTTATCCTACATGCAAAGACCCAAGATATTTCATCTTCTATTATTAAGTCTTCAATTCAGTCCCAGCATCCCTGCTCCTAGTATCTCAATGCATTAATGATAGGTCCTATTAAAGCACTTAACTGGATGAACAGGAATGACATTTTCCACATATTTTCAAAGCTGCCTAGCTTATCTATGTCTTCTTCCTTCCCATTTACATTGCCACCTAATTCCTGAACAAAATATTATTTATTAGTAATAGTATAAACTTCAAATAAATAAGTTCAAATGTTCACAGTAGGCACAAATTTGATATTTTTAACTGATGAGCATTCTATCTGTTAAAAGTATATATGAATAATTCTATTTTCATTTTATAGCAAGATACATAGTGAAATACAAGTTCAGTCATCCCCCAGTATCGATGGGGGATTGGTTTCAGGACCCCTCACAGATACTGTAATCCACAAATGCTGTGGTCCCTTTGCATGTAACCTGTGCACATCTACATTTATACTTCAGATCATCTCACAATAACTTTTAATGCCTAATACAATAGAAATGCTATGTAAATAGTTGTTATACTATATTGTTTAGGGAATATGACAAGAAAAAAAGTCATGCTCAGTACAGACACAGACATTCATTTTTATTCCCCAAATATATTCAATGTGCAATTGGTTAAATCCATGGATGCAGAACCCACAGATATAGAGAGCTGGCTATATAAGAAAATTTTTTATGTACTTAAAAGTTCTTCATCTGTTTAGATTGAATGTGTTCTGAGTGTATTTGGGGAAGTAGGACAAGAATCTGGTGACCTCTGAATTTATTTTCACACTTATATTTTATGTAGCATAGAATTTGAGAGGATTTATTTGGTCTCTTAAAACAATAAGGCTTTGAGTTCACTTGAAGTAAAACTTATTTTAGTCAGAGGTATAGTATAATTGTGAAGTTTTAGCTAAAACAAATGTTCATATTCATCTAAGCAGCAGATATATTTTCATGAAATGCTTAACCAAAGCAAAGAAAGCAGATATTAGTGTTGTGATTCGATACCACCATCAGATGAGTGGACAGTTGACTGCTATAACTTTTCCATTATTCAGTACTTAATAAAGCAAAAGTGTTGCCAAGTAAATTTAGTTACACTACATTTATATCCAAAGTTTTTAAAGTATTTTAGAGATTTTTAAGTATATAAACGAGAAGCAATCTGGGTTTTCAGTCAATATTTTTTTACTCTCATCTAGGGATAAATATAAATTAAATAGGGTTACTGTAATATTTATGTGTAATCTTTCCATTATAAACAGTGGCTTAGATTTTTGAAACTATAAGACTTAATCAAATATAAGCTAATTGTAGCCAGTAGGCTGCTAATTTGCGACTCCTTTTTTAAATAGTTATCATGGTGATGAACACTGCAGAAAACAATAGGAGTTTAAAACAGGGAGTTAGGGAGTTTTTCTTAAGTAAATGATACTTAAGATAATATCTGAAATTATTTAAGTGATATTGAGGAGTGGGGAGTGGAAAGAGGAAAATCTTGTAGACAGAGGGAATAAAATGCTCAAAGGTCTCAAACAACTGAAGGACATTAGAGCAAACAGGAAAGTGGAGGGGAGTGGCTAGAAAAGTGAATGGAGAGGTAGACAAAGAAGGATCATGCAAGATCTTGTAGGCCACATTAAAGATTTTTTAAAATAATATTTGTTGAGATATTTTTTCAATATTTTTGAAGTAATGAAAAAAGTACTTAAAATAACATCAGCTACCAAAATATGAACACTATAATTGATACTAATATTTGCAGAGCTTTCTGATCTCTCTACATTTTTTTTCAGGGTGATCTATCATGAGTGAAGCAAAGGATTCTTAACATACGTGCTCCTAATAGTTATCCATCATTTTTCCCCCTGTCTTATAGCCAGATATGGGATGGAGAAATGATTTGTGAAACAGTAGAGCAACTGTAGTACACAGTTGTTCAGTGAAAGTTTTGTACTGTCAAGCCTGTAATATTGATGTCACTTTACCTGAAACTGAGAATCAATTATTCCCATCTTCTGCTTGTAGCTACATGATCTTCATGCATGTCTTTTTTTTTTTTTTTTTTTTTTTTTGAGATGGAGTCTCACTCTGTTGCCCAGGCATGATTTCGGCTCACTGCGTGTCTATTTCTAAGTATACCTTGGAATTGCAAAAGGACAATCAAAATGAAAATTAAATTTGGAGATTTTAGCAGTGGTCCTTCTCTCCCCCATCTATTCATAAAAATTACATATAAACATTAAAATCTAGATGGCATATTAAAGTCTTGTGAGTTTAAAATTAGTTAAAGATAAGTAAGAAAGTGTTAATTTGTTTATATTGGTATGGTGTATAGTTACTGAAATAAAGCTTTATGAAAAATTATTTTTAAAACCTCCAGTTATGTCAGTCTTGTTTCTGGTGGAAATACTGCATTATTTTATGGAAAAGAGGAAAATTTAAAAACAGATATTACAGTTTATCACCTCCAAGCTAATAAATGGTCATGAAAACAGCAGCCAGTAGCATGACTGATGAAGACTCTGAAATTACAACGTGATTCTAGGAAGCTAGAATAATTCATATAACACTGACCTAATTGTTGCTCTTGAAGCATACAACTAATTTTGCAACATGTAAATACTTTATAAAGTTTAAAAGAAATGTTTCATACATATTGAGAACTGTAATGAAAAATAATGTCAGAGGTGATCAGAATTTCTACTTATCTTGAAAATTTAGAGTAGATCTGAGTACTTATACATCTTAAACCTGGTCCCAAATTGTCAAGAATCTGATAGGAAGGCCTTTATAGCAGAGCTTCTTGTTTTATGGTTGATAAGGGTTTCTGTTTTGTGAAAGGGTTCTCGCTTTCTGAATTTTTGAGCAGTCCAAAAGTTATCTTATAGTTTAGATCAGTGTTATTAAGAGTATTTTGTTTCAGGATACCAATGATGGCATTAGGTTTGTATTTGTTTTACCATTGAATGTTTATATATGCCTTAGGTTTGCAAAACAAAATATATAGAGCATTTTTCACTTTTGAAGTAG